ATCAACTTCCATAAACAACTCTGCAAAGGTTAATCTCTGTGCTTTGACATCACACTTTTTACAGGACTCTGGGGTGGGTCACTGACACTCTGGAGATCAGTTTATAACCACTGCTCGGCTAAAAGGGCAAATGGCTCCCACTGGAAACCCAGTTGGCCACTAAGGACTGCTTGTGCTTTCATACTAATCTTCCCCTCACCCTGGTCTCGGGTCAGATGGCAGAGCGCACTCAGGGGCCTTCCTTATGGGTTTATAAATAAGTCTGGTCTCATTACTAATCTTGGACTGGCCCACATGGCATTTTGCCCATTGTTTGCTTAGTTAGTAAAACTGGGCCTAGTGAGATCAACAAATAGGTGTGCAGAGAACAATCTAGAACAGACACCTGGGCTTAAGTGGTCACACAAACAGCAGACACAGATCCACCCCTCACACATTACCCCTAGGCTCTTCAGAAGCCACTTATCCCAGGTATATTCAGGGTTAGGTTTGTATATCCTCACTGAAATGGCGATGTGGTTATTTTTCTTGGAGACACTTTAACTGGACACTTAAGTGTTAGTACAGCTTATAACAACAACAACAACAAATACAACTTCCTGTAACTCTGGAAGTATTACTAAGTCCACACAATTGGCACATTTACCAAGGTATCACTTGTAAATTCTTTGGAAACAAATTGCTCAGAATCATAGTTGAGATTTTTAACTACCAAACAAAATTTATATTACATTTATTTTTTTTAGAGCCAGGCATACTGGTATACATCTATAAATCCCAGGATTTAGGAGAAAGAAGCAAGAGAATCTTAAGTTCAAGAACAGACTGGGCAACATAACTTTCTCCAAGAAAAGAAAAATGTTTTCGTGGGTAATTTTATTTTTTTATGCATGGAACACAGAACAGAGATCTAACACTCCTGAGTTTAAATTTGATAACACAGAACAGTGGAGCTCATTGACTAAAGAATATATATTCCCTGGGGCTGGGAAGGTAACTTAGTGGTAGAGTGCTTGCCTCATATGCATGAGACCCTGGGTTCAATTCCTCAGCACCACATAAGCAGAAAAAGCCAGAAGTGGTGCTGTGACTCAAGTGGTAGGGCGCTAGCCTTGAGCTGAAGAGCTGAGGGACAGTGCCCAGGCCCAGGGTTCAGGCCCCACAACCGCCAAAAATTTACATATATATATTTATATATATATTCCCTTTTAACTATTTTATTAGCAAATATTAATTATACTGAGTAATGGGCTTTATTATGTCATTTTCAGACATGTATACCACAGGCCATGATGACATTTTAATACAGGTTGAAGCTCTAGCAAATAAGAAAGAGTGGTCTATAATATGGATAGCTGACACATTTCCCTGTTTCTTAACAAATTTAGGATGGATACAATAGTCATTTAATTCATTGAATTCTTGAGTTTCAGATTGAAATGCTTCGTTGTGATCCAAAACTCTTGCATTTTAAATGAGAAAACAGTGAGATAATTAACTTGTATGGCATGATATGAGACTGAATGACTGAATGGTTATCTCCAGGGATCTAGAAGCAGATGGTTTTCAGTTGAGGGCCTTGTTCTCTGATCATCTAACTGCAACACCACAAGTAGCAAGTCTATAAACATGAGCATTTTACTTAATTCCTTTGAGTCTGCATTTCCTTATTTATAAACTGGCACTACCTCATTGACTTGTTAGTACAGATTAAATTTCATAAACTATGCAAAACACTAGGCACAGTACATTTCCACTCTACATATTTGCTTTTATAATTAGCAAAGGTTCTAGCAAGCATTTTCCTGACCTCTCTTTTCACAGTCAGGACAATTTCTTTAAGAAGCCTCTGATCTGGGAAGGATACAAATGAATTGATACTTGAATCGATGTGATGTGCATAGCATGTAGATATCTATGCTTAGTCATGGCCAGAAATATTCTCCCTCCTCTTTCTCTTCCTCCTTCTCTTCTTTTTTATCCTCCCCTCTTCTCCATCCCTTTCTTCATCTCCATTCCCTTTCCTCTTCTCTAATATGGTTTCACTGCTGGGATTAAAGGTGCTCACCACCATAACTGGCCTGAGGTATTTTATTTTTATTAATGGTAAATTGTAGGGCATCCATGGCTCATGCATGTAATCCTAGCTTCTCAAGAGGCTGAAATCCAGATGATAGAAGTTTAAGGCCAGCCTGGGCAGAAAAGTCACTCCTTCTGTACTGAAGGGGTGGCTAACGTCATAGAGTGTCTGGTGAGTAAGCAAGCCAAGCAAGCTTAAGGTCTTGAGTTCAAAAGAAAAAAAAAAAAAAGAAAAAGAAATACTATGTACTCCAGTGAAGGAGTGATGAGGGACATTAAGTTCTAAGACCACAGAAATCCACTGTAGAAAAACATGTTACTTAATCCAGATTGCACACACACATACACACACACACACACACACACACACACACACACACACACACATACACACACACACACACCTACCTGTAACCTGTAATCAAGAATATTGTTTCTATTTGTGAAAGCAATCTTTTCCCAGTTATTACTGTCAGGAGCTATGAGTTCCTTACACCACTCCTTATGAAGTACATTCTGCCCTTAAAGAGCTCCTCCTGTTTTCTTTGACAAAATCTTACATTTATTCAACTCCATTGTATTACAGGCTTTCATGAAAATTGCAACACAGTTTATTTAATGTTCACAGTATTTCTATGATATGCAAAGCAGATAGAATCTATCCTTCCTTCTTTCCTCCCTCCATTCTTTTCTTCCTTCCCTTCTTCCTTTCGTCTTTTCTTCCTTCCTTCCTCCCTCTTTTGCTGCCTTTCTCCACTCTCCACCTTCTTCCTTTACCATAGGAGAAGCAGAAAACCCACAAAGGTTTAACAACTTGCCCAAAGGTCACATAGCTGTCCAGTAGCCAGAGCAACAACATAGCAGAGCACCTTATCCATGAGCTGCCCAGAGTTTTCCAAACCATAGCATGAATATGAATCATGGGAAACTTGTTACAATGCAGATTCTCAACTCAGTAGCTTTCAGGGGTGTTAGGATTGGGGTGTCTAACACCCCCTAGAAGTTGCTGCTGCTGATCATCTCCCACTATAACATCATTACACTCTGGGTGTGTCCTACCTGATAGTCCTCAATCATAATTGAACCATTTGCACATTCCCCGATTTTTCCCCTAGGCTGTGAACTCCATGAGAAGAGGAACCAAGTCTGTTTTGCCCATCACTTCGATTTGGCTTCCCAACATCCTACTTGGCAAAATAGGAATTTGGCAAAATAGGAACTGAATTAACATTTCTTTGAAGAGTAAAGAAAAACTGCCTTTACAAACATTACTTACATGTATGACTCCATGTTTATCATGTGTTTTTCTTCTTTGATCAAGTAACAGCATAAAATTTAGACATCATTCCTCGACCCAAACATAGCAAACAAAGCCCTCCCAGAGTCAACCAGCTCAGACTTCTGTCTCCAACAGAACTATGCCCAGACACCAGTGGAAGGTCATCACTGGCCTTGGGCCAATAGCATGGGTTAACATAGAGCATAGGCCAGGTGTCTGAGGCTTGCTAACATTCACTTTGAAATGAGATAAATCACTTCTGCTCCCATCTATAGATAATAACAACAATAACTTACTATAAAGTAATGGTTTTCAAATGCTAGACACTGCACTATACTCTTCATACTAGTCATCTCATCCTCCTCTCTACAAACTTAGGACATAGAGAAATAGGTGCTATTCCTTAGTTAAGAAAGCGGAAAGGCCAGTTGAGAAGGGAAGCCAGGTTATATACTGCCTGTGTAGTCTAGCTTCAGGGTTGCTAGTTCTAATGAAACTGCCTATGTCCTTGAAGCTAGGGGAGGGAGATAAACAAAATATCCAAACAATTCCCTGAATACTGAAGTGATTTTTCTCATCAGTGAGTGATCTGAAGATTGGCTCAAAGAAATCCCAGGTCAAGGGGATGGGGAGATGCATATCCCATCAATAGAAGGTTGCCCTTATGGACAAAAGGAAGGGTTGTGTTTAAATATCCAACATCACATGAAGGTCAGGGAAGAGTCAGTTCGGGAAGATGTCTCAAAGGTCCAATTCCTTTCACACTCCATTAGGTCTCTTATAAAACCTTGAATTAGTGACTGGGCCAATTCAGAGAGGAAAATCATCACACTGAAGATAAGCATGTGTGTCTAATAAAAAAAACACAAAAAGTGTAAAGGACAGAGGAACTTTGCTTTCCAAAAGCTTAAACGGCAGTTTAAAAGTTATATTTTAACGAAGACTGTTGGAAAATGAAGGAATTAAGAAAACAAGGCAAAAGAACACTTTGTTATGTTGGACCTAAGAAAGAGGTAAACTTAATCTTCCTGTTAAAAGATTTTTAAATGTGGAGTGAGAAAATATCCAGAGGCAGCAATGTAGTGATAGGGACCTGGAGAGCATATTATGCCCAAATAAATAGAAGTTGAGCTCAGCAGATTCATATTATTTTACTGATGTATTATTATTTACCTTTGAAGGAAATATATTATTGATTGTGAGGGCTTAAGACCTAGTTTGCTACTTTTTAGTTATGGCCTCAAGCTGGCATATTTTCTCCAGATTCACTTTCTTCATTGTTTAAGTGGGGGGTGGGCAGTGACCTATATCTGTCTCATAGGATATACCTGTCTTGTAAGCCTTCTGTTAACTAATATACGGTGAGCATTTAGCTCAAAATAAGAAGTTAATATAGCACTATCCTACTTTTTTTCTTTCCTGATGTGTTCTCCCTAAAATAAAATTCTCTCATAAGTCTCTCTACTCCCCCCTCTTAAATCTTTGTTGGAAGAAATAATTCTCTTATTTAATTTTCCAGGATTATGAAAACAATCTCCCTACAAACTGATGAAATATGCATATAAGAAAATGGGTAAAAGGCTCGACTTCTGTCCCTAACTGTTTGGGGCTTTGGCTGAGCAGTGGGCCGCAGCACCCCGCCATGGTGCTGTTGGAGAGCGAGCAGCTCCTGATGGAGCTGATCAGGCTGTTCCAGAAGTGCCACCCACTGGGCAGCGTGTTCATCACCTTGAGGAAGTATGATGGTCAAATAAAACCCATTCCAAGGAAGGGTTCTGCAGAGGGTCTTGAGCCTGCAGAAAACAAGTGTCTGTTGAGAGCTACTGAGGGGAAGAAGATCAGCACTGTGGTGAGCTCCAAAGAAGTGAATAAATTTCAGATGGCTTACTCAAACCTGCTCAGAGCTAACATGGATGGGCTGAAGAAGAGAAACAAGAAGAACAAGAATAAGAAGGCCAAAACAGCCCAGTGAAGGGCACTGGATTCCTCCATTACCAGCTAACTACAGAATTGCTATTTCTCCTTTTTTCCCCCCACAAAGTTAAGTTTCTCATTCCTCTACTGGCAGCTGTTATCCTGGGAGGAGAGCTGGGATGTTTTAGGTGGGAAACCAGTGTATTTGGTATCTGCACTGCATGGGTATATTCCTGTTAAATTTCTCTGTGAAGAGCAATGTATCATTAAACCTGTCTAGCAAAAAAAAAAGAAGAAGAAGAAAGAAAGAAAGAGAGAAAATGGGTCAGCTGGGCATCAGTGGCTCACACCTTTAATCTTAGCTATTCTGGAAATCGAGATCAGCAGGACTATGGTTTATAGGTATCTGGGGGAGAAAAGTTTACAATCCCCTTTTAACTAAGAGTTTGGCCTAGTGATATGCACCCCTATTACTCTAGCTACAGAGGCAGATCTCACCTGGGTATACACTTGGGGGAAAAAAGCAATATACTATCACAAAATGCCTGCAGAAAGCAGACGTGGAGATTTGGCTTTGAGATAAGAGCACCTACCTTCCAAAATGCCCTGAGTTCAAAACCTAGTAATAAAAAAAAGACAGGAAGGAGAAGAAGGATGCAAGGGACGTGAAGAAAAGGGAAGAAGAGGGGAGGGAGGAAAGAGGAGAGGAAAGAAAGAAAAGAAAAAAAGTGGGTAAAAACTAGTGCTATATTATATGTAAACATGGCTTTGGAAAGCTGAGGTTGTATTAAAAATAGAATAGCTCATTGTATTCACAAACTGACATGTTGAATTGAAACCCCTTTCATACAACTACTGAAAGATAATAAAAATAAACAGAGCAACAAAAAAATAGAATGGCACGGAAGGTCACAAAAAAATCAAGTTCGTTTATAATTTTGCCTACAAATTTTAGGTAACACTATTTTAAAAATAGAGACTAATAATATTAATAAGAAGGTTTTACAAATCAAGAATCGAGAAGTTTTATGACTGTGTAGATTTTTCAGAAAATAAATGCACTTCAATTTACGTGAAGATTATTTATAAACCAGACAGAACTAAAGAATACCATGTTGTTTCTATTATAATGTTTTATTGGCTTCCTGAATAAGTTGGTGACATCAGCAAAGTGAAGTCACTCAGCATACCTCCATACAAATTTTTATTCACTGGAGTTCAGTTTGAAATGTACATGGGAAGGAAGTCAAACTTCCTAAGAAGTTATAACAACATACATAATAGTCATTAAGTCAACAAATAAAACAAACAAAATTTTCAGAAGTCTTCCAACTATTTCATCTTCCAAACTTTGAGGGGTGGTTGTAGAAATTAATATCCAATTTTTACCAGTCATATTCAGAACTCCTGTTCCCTGTGAAAAAGAGAAAAAGAGAAAAATATCATTAGAGGGACATATTTATAACCTTAGTGCTTTCCAACTCCATCTCATACTTCATTTAAAACATACAATGACAATGATAAGTCTTCCAGGGAATTCTTTCTACCTATTTGTAACCAACAAATAAATTATTTCTTTCCCACTCATTTTGACCACTTTATGTCATGCTTATAGGTTCTTCCATGTCAAATGTGCCTTTCATTATAAAAGACATAACTTTCTCATCTTTCTAGAAGGAATAACAAGAAACTTTTGTAGAGACCATTCTCTTCCTATGTTATTCATAGTTTATTTATGATGTGGCTGCAGTATTTATCATCTTAATCATTTTCATTGGTATAGATGAGGTTCCCTTTCCTCTAAACTGTGCACTTGATGTTCTGGATATAAGAACTTGAAGACAAGGTAGGAAATGATTTTTTAAAATCTTTTTTTTATTTCAGGTTCTATCTTTTCTCTAGAACCTCTCCCATATAAGTTGGTCACACCTATAAAGATATCAAACATTTAATTTCTTCAACATCTTTGTGTTTCAGAAATAGTTTTATTTTTAATAGCTAAAATTGTAAAAGATATCCATAGGTGGTCTGTTTCCCATATTGTCATAGCATTTCACTCAATGTCTGTTAGGGTGGGTTTGTGGGAGTTTGGCATCATTCAGAGAAGTTTGGCATCTTTTCAGAGAACACAGAAGGAAGAAACGATTTACAGATCCTTAGACTAAAAATATGTGTAGGAATGTATGTAGTTAAAAGAGAGAAAGATAGAGAAAAAGATAGTAGGAGGCAGGGAGAAACAGAGAGGGCGGAGAGACAGAGAGGGAGACAGAAATGGAGACAAAGACAAGGAGAGAGAGATGGGAAACGAAATGAGAAAGACAGGAAGAGAGAGAGTTAGAGGGATGAATACTAGGCAGATGCTGTCTCCTCCCACTTTGAGGACCTTCCTTTCCTCTGTAGCCCCCTGGCCTTGGACTTCGGCATCTTCAATGTGTGTTCTTTTGGTTATTTTCTTCTCTCTCCAAAAGCAGTGAAGAAGTGAGGGAAGAGCAGAAAATTAGTAGAGATCTAGTAGAGATGAAGGACTGGCTAGAGAAAAACCCTTTTCTTACCTGAATGAATTTCAGGTAGTGGTAAGTAACTCGGCTCCTCTATGGGGTGGGGGAGGTTCTTTTTTTTTCTCCCTCTGCTCTTGCTAGACCAAAGTGCATCCAACACAGGTGGTGTCCTGTGTGAAAGCACATTAAGAGGTTTAATTGGATTGCAATCGGGGTGGGGAGGGGGGTTTAGGAGCAGGGAGCCTGCATGGAGAGACTCTAAAATTACTTTCCAAAGAAGACGTTGAGTGGTCTTTGGAAAATAAGACTTTTTAGGTTCATTTTAATAAAGGATTGTATAGCTGCGTGAAAATATTTATCAGAAAAATTAAGTGAATTCTAAGATTTTCCTGGCAGGGGATATACATTTGCCACACTTTAAAAACACAAAAAACAATCCCCCTAAAAATTGTGTCAAACAAAGACTTCAATATCTCTATGACATTAACAGAAACAACATAAACCTTCTCTATATTTGAGATTTTTTTTGCATTGCTTTTACAAATTAGAAAGTAGAAGAGTTGATTCATAGCATGAACCAGGATATAAAATAGCCGTTAACCATGTTCTTTATATGTTAATCTTATAACTTAAATATAATAAAGATAATTGTGCTTCAAGGTGTTTATTACAGTTTTTCTGTTATTGTTGTTTATTTCCTTGCTCTGATTTCCATATTCTTCTCTTCTCTTTAAGCTTTGCTTGTTTTGATTTAAGATCAAGCTAAGTATCTCTTTGGGATCAAATTGTTTTGGTTTTCTTTTTCAGATTTTTGGAAATTTTGCATATGTATAACAATATAATCTTACAGATGGCTCCCAAGTTTAACTATAAAATTCTTTTATTTATTATTTTAATTTAATTTAATTTTTTGAGGCAAGGTCTCATTATGGAGCCCAGACTGGCTTTGAAATTGCCTCTCTCTTCCCTTGGTCTCACTAGTGCTGGGATTAAAAACATATGCCACTAACAAAATTCATTTATGTTTCAATATGTAACGTTTATAAGCATAGTCTAAAGGTAACTTTATTTGATTGTGACCTATCACATGAAGCTAAGTGTAGAATTTCCAGTTGTGGTGTCTTATTGGTGCTCAAAATGTTTCAGATTTTGAAGCAATCTGGATTTGAAGTTTGTTCCATCTATGGATTGTCTGTATAGAAAAGTAGTCAACTGATAAGTGAATAGGTGAAAGGCAGAGGTGAGAAAATGACAAACTTCATAGCATTTTTACCAAGTAAGGGCATATACATGGGACTGGCCAATAAATTACGTTTTAGCTAGAAATTGAGTATCATTTATTCATTTAAATGATGGTTATTACAAATATGAAAGCACGAAAGCATTACTTGAAAATGATAATTCAATAGTTAAATATGAACTAAGTGAATTGATACAGACCTGTAACCTCAATATTCATGAGGCCAACGCAGGAAGATTATGAGTTTTTAGATCTACATCATTGGAAGTACACAAATTTATATTGTAACATGTTTGCTAGCATGCACATATCTTACTATGGACTAAAATTTTGGTATTTCCAGATGCCAGTGGCTCATGCTTATAATCCTAGCTACTCAGGAGGCTGAGATCTGAGGACCTTGGTTTAAAGCTAGAGAAGAAAGACTATGAGATTTTATAACCAATTAAACGACCCCCCCCAAAAAAAGCCAGAATTGGAGGTGTGGCTTGAGTGTCATAGCACTAGCCTTGAGAGGACAAATCCAAGCTGCAGTACTGGCATGCATGCATGCATGCACACACACAGAAAATTAAAAGCATAATAATACCTTGATTACATTCTCCTATGTTAATATATATTACTTCTTACTCAGGTAGAATCTTAGCAATCAAGTTTTTGTTTTTTTCCCCTCTTTGTATTTGAGAGGAAGCTATTTATTTAATAGCATCAATTAAAAAAACTTTCGAGTGTTGCTTTGCTTTGTTTTTGGCTGTGCTGGGGGTTGAACTCGGGGTCTTGTGCTTGCTAATCAGGCACTCTACCACTTGAGTATGCCTACAACTCCCTAGTTGTTGGTTTTTGGTTTTTGTTTTTTTGTTTTTTTGGTCGGTCATGAAGGCTGAACTCTGGGCCTGGACGCTGTCCCTCAGCTCTTCAGCTCAAGGCTAGCGCTCTACCACTTGAGCCACAGCGCCACTTCTGGCTTTTTTCTGCTTATGTGGTACTGAGAAATCAAACCCAGGGCCTCATGCATGCGAGGCAAGCACTCTACCACTGAGCCACCTTCCCAGCCCCTGAACAAAACATACACTAAAAACACACATAAATTTCAAACAAGTGGAAATGGTTTAAAAACGATTGAATGTCTTGTGTTTTAAAAATCACAACTAAAATGATACAACCTTCAATTTCTGATATGGCATCCTACATTATTTTGAGGCCAAGTATTTCTTATATTGAAGCATCAAGTAACTACAAATAATTTCCTTCCCATTTCAATGCATCTACCTCTCTTTTACCCATGTTCAGAAGGCATTGGGAAGTCAGCATATAATTTCATAGAACATTACACTGAAATCAGAATAGATCGTCCCATATCTAGTTTTTAAAACATTTTTCCTTTGACTCCATCAAAATTTATCTCCAAATAATCTAATTAAAATG